TCTGTGGGTATGCGGCAGGGAGGAAGCAGCAGCTGACACTGCACAATGCATAAAGCAGTACATGAAACCTCAAGTCAACCGAGATTTATATTTTCCTTCCCAGAAATAGCATAAATCATCCCACTGATATCATTAGAACTGACTTGCTGAAGCCAGACGGTACGAATTTGTTCTAATTTTTTGGTCCTTAAAAGTAAGAAAAACTTTGACTGCAAGACTTTTTTTTTTATTTCCTTTTCTTTTTTTTTTTCACCCCTTTTGGTGGCCTGTTTCTTAGTGGCTCCTCTCGATAAGAGCCAGCCAGCACTGCATGCATGTCTGTGTGCTGCACCTCCACTGCTGCAGGGCTGCTCTGAAAGCAGCTTTTATTCCTCACAGATAGTCAGGAGGACAGCAGTCCTGGCCAGGAAGATGGGATTTGGGGCAGTTTCTGGGATCCAGCACTGCAACTTCCTCAAAGCTTATGCTGGAGGACAATGCAATCTATTTAGGAAACATCTGCTACGCTAAAACAAATGGTGGTATATTCCTGCCACAACAGAGTGTGCTGAATTTTATTCCCAATCTGCAGAACACAGAAAATATTTTTGAGATGAGACTTTCCAACTGTGAAACAACCAGATTTGTTGGTTCTAGGAACGGAGCTCTAAAATACCCTTTTAAAACTGTTTGTTTCTTAAGAAACAACAGAGTGGTTCATGGAATATGAAATGCTTGACAAACTTGCTTTTCTTTGCTTGCTTGGGTTTGCTTACTCCTAACCTTACCCGCTCTACAGTAGCATCATTCATGTTTGTTTCTCCTGCTGCCTTGCCATCCCCACAAATAGCAGTTCAGCTCCAGAATGTCTCCCCAAGACCAATAAATGCAATCCAAACCCAAACTTTGGCCACTACAAGCTTCTGCCCCTTCGCAAGTTTGGACAACAACTTTTTGCAGCACATCAAACCACACAAGCACTGAGCAACCTCTGCAGATCCCGTGGGTGGATGCCATGTTCGTGCAACCCCTGCTCATGTCTGTAGGTGCAGGGTCTGCACTGATCCACTATGGATGCAATGCTCCCCTCTTTAACAGAGCTGGGAAAGCTGTGCTCATCTCCTGCCTTGCAGAGCTGTGTTTTAGCCATTAGCCCCTGCTGCCTGTTTGACACCAAGCAAATGTTATTTTAAGCAGGGGTGACTTAACGAGTGTTTTATAGGCTTGGTGGAGTCGGCGCATCAGTTGCTGAGCACACAGAGCTGCATTAAGAATGTCCTGCTTTGCTCTTCTGAATTCTCAGCTCTCTTCCTGGGCTTCTGTCATCTTTTCCTCTTGCTTGTATTCAGAAAAAAAGTTTATTTTTTGTCTCATTTTGCTTCTTAGTGTATTCATCCAGATACAGCTTGTATGTGATCTGCAGTTCCAGCAACTCCTTTAAGGAAAGACCAAGAAACTCACCCATTTTCTACTGGTTTCAGCCATCCCATAGATGCTTGTCTGCATTTCGGGTGATAATCTGGGCTGAGCACATGCAGCTCTGTGAGATGTCTCAGAGCTGGCTGGTTAGCTGCTCTGAGCACGGCACTTTCTGAATGTGAGCAGCAGTGTGAGAGAGGAGGTTGGGAACCTTAAGAGCCCGTGCTGGTATCAGGAAGAAAAGATCAGTGTGGGTCAGTGCGTGGCGTGGAAGGAGCAGTAATGGCGAGATCTCTATGTAGGCTGAGGTAAAGGTTGCATTAAAATAATAAGTCAGGGTGTTCTGAGAGAGGGGAAAAACGCTGACATTCCCTTTAGTGTGGGAGCAGGAAGAGGTTGGAGGCTGACGGCCTGCTCTGGGAAGACCTGGTCTCTAAAAGGAGCTTTCTGCCCAGCGATGCTCCGGAGGAGGCAGGGCGTTAAAGTGGCTGCAGGAGGCAGGCAGAGATTCGCACCCAACCCGTTCCGCACCGCTTTGCTAAGCCTTGGCTGATTGACTTCCACACACGTACTGCCTGTGCTCGTCCTTTTGTGAGGAGAAATCTCCAATTCCTTCTCTCCCCGCTGCAAAACGCAGCATGCAGTCCGCACTGCACTTAGTAACCCCCGGCCAGGAGGCAGAACCAGGCTGAGCTCCACCTCCCCTCTGGACACAACAAGGAATCACATCTTAAAGGTGTTGATTCTTCTTAATAATCCCCGCTAATGAGAAATCACTTACTGCTGATAGTGATCTAAACTGTTGTCAGTGAGATGAATTAGGAGCGGGGTGGGGGTTGTTTTTCTGTTGTTTTCCTGCCCGGCTTCTCCAGAACACTTGGGCTGATTCCTGTCTGGACCAAACCTCGTTTTTCAGCTCCACAACGCATGCAATGCAAAAATTCCCCGAATTTAAGGAATAAAGTTCTGGCCAGGGACTGTGTTATTTAGCAATTACTTCCATTTCCACAAAATTGCTAGGGATTTGATAGGGATTTGCTATCAGTCCCTTATGGCTGGCACCTTTATTCGTTATTTACCTTGTTCTCTTACCAGTGGTGTGAGTTTGTACAAACCCACCATGCACCGTTTGTCTGGAAATGAAGTGTGCTGGCTCCCATTACCTTCAGGTGGAGTGGGGGCACTGAATTCTTCCAAATGAAGCTGGTGTTGGGGGGGAGGGAGATGCTGGTGCCTGACTGTGCCATCCAAAAAAGCTGAGGAAAGGGCACGGACCAGATCCAAGTGCAAACCTTATTAAAACCTCTTTCCTTCTCTCCCCTCAGCTTGCTCCCAAACACTGAGAGGATCTCCAATTTCAGGCTCCCTGGGGAGGAACTGCTTTCTAAGCACAGTCTTTTCCATATTTCATTATAGACCTGAAGCCCTTGGGGCTCACAGTCCTGTGTCAGGTTGGATGCATTCAGTTTTTCTGTGCATCTGTGAGAGCTGAACTCGGGAGAAAATGTCATGGTGCGTGTGTGTGGATGTGTGTGTGTGACAGCCTCAATGTCACCAGTCCTGGGGAAACCTCTCGCATCCCAACCTCACTGGCTCTGGGGCTTCTGGGCTGAGGCAGAGTCAGTAGCAGCAGTGTGCATAGGCATGTGAGGCCAGCGAGCCCTGGGCATTCATTCCTAATGGAGGTTAATTTGATCATACTTCTCCCAAGCCCAGCTAATGGAAAGTCTCCCTATCCGTGCTTCATGCTGTGGCTGCTGAAGCAGGGCTGAGCACTGCTCTTGGTTTCAGCCAGCTGTGCCTGTGTCCTCTGTCTGAATCGCTGCCTCCAACTCTTTGGCTGCTGCTCCAAGCCCTGGCTTTGCCCTGCCATGCATCTGTTTGTGATGCAATCCCTGCAGGGATGGGGAAGCATGAGGAGGAGGGGAGCGTGTGAGCAGAGCTGGGGTTACATCCATCCCATTTAGGAATGAGTGTAGCACAGTTCTGGCAATTGGACCCAAAGTCAGTGCCCAGAACAGAGAACATCAAGCTCTGTTCCACTGACAGCTGGAGTTCCTGATAGCAGGAGCTCTGAGATATTCCTGGAGGAAATAAATGTGTAGAAATGAACATGTGAGGAAGGGAAAGGATGTTTGGAGTACGTAGAAGTGAGATGGATGCTGTGTTGATGTGCAGAGTTACTTTTGTTCTGGATTCTTGCTGGAGTCCATCCTGGTAGATCGTTTCATAAAGGTCTAGGGCCATGCTCTGAAAGCAGCAGTCCATATTTTAGGCTATTTTAATGTATTCTTTCATGTTAACTCAGGACTTGTCCTCATCTCCCAGGGTCTTGCTGTCAGCTGTGTTTCTGGCCAAGCTCAGTAGCAGCAGCGTGGTCTGACTGTGAATGGTGCCAGCAGGGCAATAGCATTGTGCACACTTTGCAGATAAGGTAAACTGAGGCACAGAATTGGCACCTGGCAGTGGCAAAGCTCAGACCCTGCTCTTCCCTGGGGGCTCTCAGGAAGATAGACACCCTCAGCTCAAATAGAGCAGAAAGTTTCCTGTCTAACCTGCTCTCTCTCTACTTCCTGCTGGGTTCTGCGGGTCTTTCTACCACAAAGTGTGCGTGAGGAAGGCAGAAGTTAGCATACAGCCAGTAGTCCTGGGGCAGGAGAAGTTTCATGTAGAAGTAGTCTTCGCTATCTCCACACTTAGAGGTAGGCAGCCGTGAGTCCATGCTCTGGTTCTCCTTTCTGGTGTCACAAACCTGGCATCCTCTGCCAGGTGAGTGCCCAGAGGCAAATCC